AAGAAGCTAGGCTTAGACAAGAGGTGACCATTTGTGAGCAGCAGTATGGGTTAATGATGAGGAAGAGCACCACAAACTATTTGCTTTGAAGATGCTGATAGAGAAGTACGGAGAGGGTCAGAAAGAACTTCATTGTTTTTGTACTGTATGTTTTGAAAAAGCATATGACAGGTTGACCCCTGAGGAATATGTGTGCATATGACATTTGTGATCTGTGGTGAGAGCAGGGTACAGGTGGGAGAGAACTTAAGAGAGACGGAGGTATGCACCTGAAAGAAGAGGAATGAAAGTAAGCCATAGTAAGACAAAGTGCATGTGTGAGAATGAGAGGGAGGCAGGTGGAACAGTCAGGTCACAATAAGCTGAGGTCACAAAGATGCAGGACTTCAAGTACTTGGGGTCAACTGTCCAGGAAAATGGAGAGTGTGGTAAAGAGGTGAAAATTAGTGTCCAGACAGGGTGGAGTGGATGGAGAAAAGTTTCAGGTGGTGGTTTATGACAAAAGGGTGATAGCAAAGGTCAAAGGATAAAAGTTTACAAGACAGTGGCAAGACCAGCTATGTTACATGGTCTGGAAACAGTGGCACTGACAAAAAGACAGGAGAAAGAACTGGAAGTAGCAGAAATGAAGATGCTGAGGTTCTCCTTAGGATTGGCAAGGATGGATAAGATTAAGATTTAAATCATCAGTGGTCCAGCACAGGTTGAAGGACTGGGAGATAATGTTAGAGAGGTCAGACTGAGATAGTGTATATACGTTCAGGGGAGGGATAATGGGTATATTGGTAGAACAATGTTAACAGCTGCCAAGAAAAAGATGAAGAGGAAGGTAGTTGGACTGAGGATAGGGTGAGATGGAGGATGGCTCACTGTGGTAAACCGCTGAAAAGCCGAAAGAAGAAGAAAGTAGTAATGGACTTGTGACTTGCTCAGGGTGTACCCTGCCTCTCGTTCAATGACCATGTGAGTTATGAACCAGCTCTCCTGTTTATGGCTAGAAAGATGGATGGATAGTTTGGCCAGTTTGTTCATTTATCTCAGATATAAAGATTGTTCTACTCTTTTCATGTCTGTCAAAGAACTGAGTATTTTCTGAGAGGGTATTTCTTGTAAAAAGTTTATGAATCACTGTTCCAGACTGTTTCAGCAAAACCAAAAAAGAACCTTGCAGCTTATTCTTTTTCTTTGTGCTGTTCTCAGGGCAACAGCGGAAAGGAAGAAAGATGAAGAGAAAAGGGCCAACGTGGCTTGATGATTTCACTGTGGGCTCTGTGACGGATGATTCAAATCTAAAAATTTAAAGGAATCTCACTCAGTGTCGGGCTTTACACCATACTCATTTATTTCTCACTCACCCCAACAGCCTCACAGCTCTGAAAAATTGGACCCAGTCACTGTAAAGTCTTAACACGATTTATCTTTTTCTGGTGCCTTAGGTCATGACATTTTTAAAATGTAAAAAAAAAAATATATATATATATATATATATATAAATAACATACTTTCTTAATTATCAAAAGACAGTTAATTACAGATAAAAGAAAGGTGATCAGATCATCTATCCAGAGGCGAGCTCATCACAGCAGAAGCCCAGAGGACCCGTCAGCATTCATCAGTATCTCCTCCACCCAGCCACTCAGCTGTGATGACTTTGTCTAGATGTGATTGCGCTCCACTCCGAGACAGCGGGGGCTGGGAGTAAAATATTGAGCCCACAAACATATCTGAATGACCATCTCCTGATCTTCTTGTTGAGTTGTTCTGCCAGACTCTGGTGACCGACTGAATGTGAATTACCTGTCACAATGACAGAGTTCATGATAGACCCAGGTGTCAGAAGCTGGGTTTGTAAAAAAATGAATACTTCCCTCTCATATATACATGCTGCTGTGTGACCCTGATGTGACCTTTTCTCTTACATTTGAGCCACAACACTTATTAACACTTGTCTGCTGGCCTCCTTAGATAGAGAAATTTACTAATTGTTTTTTATGTATGTGAATGTTTTTGTGAAGTGTCCTGAGATAACTTTGTTGTGATTTGGCGCTGTATAAGTAAACTGCATTGAATTGAATTATTGTACACTTAATTCTTTTTATTTGTTTAGTTCTACACAAAGCAATTCCAAACCAAAGCAATGAGTGAATGTTAAAACAACAAAGCAGAAGTGCTTTACAAAGTTAGTATCCTTAAAATGTATCAACCCAAAGGGTTAAATAGCAACTCTTAGTTTGTCAGTTCACATCTAGGAACGTTATTCACCACGTTCATACCAGGAACAAAATGTTGTCCTTAGCAATTGAATTGTACTTGTAAAGATTGGTAAAACTTAACAGACATGTAATCGGCCTCAATGATAAAGTTTTCACTCAAACCATCTTTTGAGCTGGTCTGGACCCCTTTAATCCATATACGTTTGGTAATCCAAAGTTATTACCTGGACTTCAAGGGAAAAGTCATCCATCTGCCCATTGATAAAAGAAAATATTTTAAAGAACTACAGTATATCAGATTTTTATTTATTTTTTTTTTTTTTTTT